ACAGGTGTGTCCAGGGCTGTTGCACCATGCATCACCATGCCACTGGCATTCTGCTCAAACTGAGCATAGAAAGCAGTTAGCTCCTTAGGGAGGGGTGTGTCTTTGTCTGCTATCTTGCTCTGCTTCATTTTGTATTGCGTAATGTTGTTTAAGCCTTGCCATAGGTGGCGGAAGTCCGTTTGGTAGGTTTGGGCCTCTAACTTGGTCCAGTACTGCTTCTTGGCCTCCCTGATGGCTTTGCAGAGGTCATTTCTGGATTTCCTGTGTTGGTCTGGGTCATCCGATTTGAATGCTGCACATCTGGTCTTCGGTAGGGAGTGCATTTCCTGGCTGATCCAAGGTTTATGGATGGGGAACATTGGGATTGACTTCGTTGGTATACAGTCCTCCACACATTTGCTAATGAAATCAGTGATGGTGGTGGCGTACTCATCTAGGTTTTCTGCTGAACATTTGAACACGGTCCAGTCCACTGAGTCCAAGCAATCCCGGAGATCATCTTCCAAAGCCTCAGACCAGTGTAGTACTTCCTTTTGTGAAGGGTCTTCCCGTTTCAGCTTCTGCTTGTAAGCTGGGAGGAGGAACACAGCGTTGTGGTCGGACTTTCTGACGTGTGGGCAGGGGATGGAGTGGTAGGCATCTTTGATGGTTGTGCAGCAATGGTCCAGAATGTTCGGTCCTCTGGTGGAGCAGGAGATGGAATTAACAGCAGAAATACCAGTTAATTGGCATGATTTTATAGCCATTATGGAGACGTGGTTACAAGGGGATCAATGCTCAGAGTTAAATATTCAGGAAATGTGCTATATTCCATCTAATTGCTTGAGCCACTGTGTGACCTCTGAGATCTGTATGCAGAATCAGCTCAAGAGACCGCAAGTGAATTCACAGCACACTGATTGGCAAGCAAAGATTCTCAGAGCATGTAGATATTTGGGGGGATCCTCTGCATGAATTGAGAAAAGGTAGCATTCAAATTCAGAGGGTAATAGGGAAAACAAATGGAATGTTGGCCTTTATTTCAAAAGAAATAGAGTATAAAAATAGGAGAAAGAGGTAGTAGGAACTGCCGATGCTGGAGAATGTGAGATAACAAGGTGTAGAGCTGGATGAACACAGCAGGCCAAGCAGCATCAGACGAGCAGGAAAGCTGACA